AAATATGCAGTTATCCCAACAGGGGGTCTTGTGTGGTTGTGATTTTTATTTTATTTTATTTTGTTTTGTTTACCTATTTATTTCGTGGTGCAGGGATGAGGACCAGGGCCTCGTATATGCTAACCAAGTGCTCTACCCTTAAGCTACATCCCCAGCCCTGGCTGTGATTTTTATATTATTATTACTGAAGAGCAAAATAAGAGAAATGACTAAACGAGCAAATTATAAAAAAGCAAAACACAAGATCTTATGTTTGTTTGACATTTTTAGAAATATACACAAGCCTTAGCTTATCAGAGCCACAGAGTGAGCAGCTCTGTGATAATGAAGCTGCGATTCAGACCAGAGCCCAGTGCCGAGCTCAGTTGAAGCTAAGCCTTGCCCTCCACGTGCTCTTCTTACTGGGGTCACTTCCTGTCACAGTCACACTAGAAAGAAGGACTGTTTCCATTATTTTAATCCATCAAGGAGCTGTAAGAAAAGAGATGTTATGCCCTTCAAAAATAAAAAGTTTCCACTCTGGCAAAAAACTGTTTCACAGTTCTTCATGGTTGACAGGAAAGGGAAGGAGCCACCTTTTGGCAAAACCTTGCCAAGTCGTAGCCCTCCTGGAATGGGCTCGGTGCGGGGACCACTATCTGGCATCACACTCAGAGTTTATCAGCTGGTGCAGGCGGCTCTGTTCATTGACCACAGGGCTGTACTCTTGTGAGTGTCCCAGAATAGCTGCAGCTACCTGAGAACAGTGCAGTCCTCAGGGACTCGTTATTGTCCCAGATAAACAGCGTTGCCACCGCCAGCGCGTAATGGCTGTATTTAACTGTGATAAGTGATGGGCAGCCGTGCCCGAGTGAGTGCATCGCTGCTAGGGCCTGGGTAATTGGACAAAGGCGAGCCGGTTTGGCAGCCAGCATTTCTTGTACATCATAGAGTTGATGCTACAGGGTTTTAGGCTCCTGGGACTAAATATGACAAGAGGAACTTGCATTCTAAATGAGTGAGATAGGACAGACCTACTAAATTTTGATGCAAATCACAAGGGTATTTGAGGAAGGAAAGAAGGGGAGAAGTTTAGAAACAAGTTAGAGTAATAGAAGCAGGCTTGTGGGGAGTGGTGGGATCTCATCCCACAGAGAGGCTCTCTTGGAAACGTGGGGTTGTGGAACAAGCCAGACATTTTTCTCTGCACACACATTTATTTTGGGGAGTGGTTGTCTGGAAATCCTATGAAATACAACAGCATACCTTATGGTAAGAGGTAAAGGTGAAAGCGGCCATATTTTGACAGTGTCGGCTTAGAAAAATTATTAGTATTTGGGTGCATTTTCCTTCTGTGTGGTTCTCTGGAAATTTCTGGTGTGATAAGAGATGAGTAACTAAGTCATGTTCTTGGCACTGCTTCCCTAATAAAGTGGGAAAGTGGCTCACCGGGTGGACAGAGACTCTCTCAGCACTCTTGGTGAGGAGATGTTTTAATCCTCTGGCTAGACGGGAAAGGCAGGCCTAGGATTCTGAAGCTCGCTGGCCATCTAAGCTTGATAGCGGCCACGGATGGTGTACTAGGCTTGTGTAGTTGTGTGCGTGGGGTGCTCTCGTGACAGAGGGGGTCATCTTGCCATCCCACAAACCCCCATTTAGAGCAAATCTCATGTGTGAGGTTCAACTATGGCTACCTTCCTAGAATCTGTTGTATTAGGGGCACTAGAAAACTTCGAGTGGGGTGTGTGTGTGTGTGTGTGTACATGTACCATGAGAGTGCACACATTTGTGAAATTGAGAGCATAAAGGAGACTCTGAAATTTTGAACTTGAAGGTCCAGAAATTAGTAAGCTGCTTTATATATCAGTAATGCATGAATAGCCTCCTGATCAAGTTTTAAATACCACATATTTGATGTGGGCTTTTGTTGAAAGAGCCTACCATCACAGCATGTGAGAGATGGAAGATGTACTAGAAAGTCTCACCCAGACCTCCATTTCCTAGAGGAAGCATCAAGGCCCAGGGAAGGGTCGATAAGGAACAGATCCAAGGGCACACGGCTATAGTCGGGGTCTACTGGACTGTTGCACAGGTCTCTGCCTCACTTATTGCAGTAATTTCACCTTGGCAAATGTGGAGAAACTATTTAGATGGAGAGGACAGGTTCTTCATAGGATCCCTCTGCACGGCGAAGACCAAGGCCCTGGAACTCCCTGGGAAAGACTACTTTCTAAAAGTCTAACCTTGCTTCCTTCTGCTCTCTTGAGTCCCGTACATTGAGTACCAATGAATATCAGAAAAGTGGAGCCCACACTTGGTTCTTCATTGTCATTAGTTCCAGATTTATTTCTGTGGCACCAACAAGGGGGCTGCCCTGCCCCAGCCAGAGCCAAAGAAACCCAGGGGCTGTGTTCGGTATCACCCCCTCCTCAAATGCTGCTGGCATTGAGGACTTGTACTGCCACCCTCTGGCCTTCGGGGGTGTCCCAGGCGTGGAAAGTGTGCGATTAGGGAAGGAAGGGTACAAATGGTCTCTGCCATTCTCTTAAAATCAGCACGGTGTGAGGCAGCTTTCAAAGCAGCAGGAACAGGGCTGCAAAAAATAGAGCGCCGTGCAGCTGCACCCTTTAGAACTTTGGGGGAAAACACATATTATTTACCAGACAATAATAGATACCAGAGAATAATAATGATTATTATAGTGTTTGGGATGGCAAACGCTGTAGTTAAGGTTCCAGAATGGCTCTCATTATAATCCCGTTTTCCCAGTCTTATGAAAGCCTGAAAATTTTCTCCAAGTAGGCTGAGGCTGGGCATGCTTGGTCTTCATCCAAAGGTGATTTGAATACAAAGAAACTTATTTGAGAGATATGCCTTTTTTTTTTGGGGTAGTGATTACACTGAAGAAAAAGCTGCATCATTGAACAGGCAGTTGCAGCATTCTTAAGGAAGCAATTAAAAATGGTGTTTCCCAGTCACTGGAAGAAAATGTTAAACACCTGGGTTTCTTTTTCTTTTTTCCCTTTAAAAAAAATTTGGAGGCCCCTTTGGACTCCAGGATTCAGTCACTCTTGGTCCCAGGCCCAGAGGTGGGGATGAGTTCCCTCCTCCACAGCAACTTCCAGGCTGTGCTCGACACAAGCGAAAGAACTGTCCCCAGAGGAAGCTACTCCTGTGACTTTGGACCTACTTGTCATTTCTGCCGCTCTTTCCCAATCTTTTATGGTTTCCCACTTGATGGGGCTTCTTGGTAGCAGGGGAGAGGAGAGGGGAGGGAGGGGAGGGGAGGGACAATTGAGCTTTTTAGTCAGAGATAAATATTCCCATTTCCAAATCTGCCTATGCCAAATAAAAAGGTTTCCATGGCCTTGTAATTCCACCCCTATTGCATATTTGTGGTGTTTTGCATTTTCACTTTGGTTATTTAATATACATATTAAATGCACACAGATCTGGTGATTTAATGTGATTTGGGGAACTCAGGCATTTCCTGTCGCACACATTGAGATTTTCAAACCCTGTTTTTGGCTGATGATTATTGCCGTTGCCATTAACACCAGGATTCGGATAACAGGGTTCAAAGCACAAGCTTCTACTTAGCCCTCCCAGTGGGCATTTGACCTTCTTGCTGTCATGCTAAATTCATGTTACAAACACTCTGAGCAAGGTTCCAGTCTCTCTGCAGCTTCCATTTTCCTTGAGGAAGTTGTAGTATATCATCTCTGGGGTCCCTTCAAGTCCTAAATTCTTTTTTTTTTTTTTTTTTGGTTTTTCTCCGGCACCGGGAACCGAACTCACGACCTTGCGCTTGCCAGGCAGGTGCTTTGCCGCTGAGCTAAATCCCCAGCCCCCAAGTCTTAAATTCTATCACTTCTCTCAAATTATTTGTTCATTGTTCTGACAATAATCTCAGTGGTTGTAAAGATGGTTACAAGTCCTGTCCCCACCTTACGTTAGGCCATTCACATTTCTGATGTCCCCACTTACTGGCAGGAAAAAGGGTGGGGGACTCTTTGGGGCCATAGTGGAGGAGACCTGCTTGGTTCTCAGTCATTTGGCAAAAGCGTGTCAAGTGCCTACTGTGGTCCAGATGCACACCAGGGAGCTGAGTGTGGAGGCATAGACCGGACAGCCCCAGCCTTGCAGTTCAGGGGCTTCACAGTTTGCTGGGCAGACTTCTAATTAACTGCTTTCTGAGAGCTGAGGGTCCTCAGCAGGCTGAACGCCAGACTGAGGGACGCAAGTGCAATAAACTAGTAGGGACAAAGAGGCAGAGCCTTGTGTCTGTGGTGAACGTGGGGACGGGAGTTCCCCGGAAACAGACTTGCCCGGTGAAAAGTCCTGTCGGCCCCTCGGCCCCGAAGCCTGGGACCTGGGGAGGCGTGGGGTCTTCCAGCCTGGGCGTCTGTTTGCATGTGAGGAGATGTGAGCAGGTCCCTTGACACACAAGACCCACAAACAGAGGGGCGAGCACTTCCCCGCACTGCTTCTGTAGGGAACTTCTGAAGAAAAGGCCATGGTGATTTTCATTTACCACAGAGTGAGTCTCTGGGCCTTCCCTCAGCAAACTTCAGAGCTGACCGCAGAGTACAGGGCTGAAGTCTGGACCTCCAGAGCCCCCGGTGACCTTGCCTGGCTTTGAAGCGACCTTGAGCGACTCAGAAGACCTGCGGGCGAAGTGTGAAGTCATGTGGGGGGGAGAGCTGCTGGACTGCGGAGGATGCTGTGGTCTTGGGTGAGGGCGTGGTGCGCCATGCTCATTATGGTATTCCAAAAAGCAGCTCGAGTTTCATTTCCTCACACAGAGCTGGCAGGGCCGACCCTGAGGAGACCGTGAATGAAACTCAGGCTGAAATCATGCTGTGCTGCCTTAGTTTTCTGGAGACTCTTCTTAGGTCTGAAGTGGCAACCTGGAAGCTTGTTGCTTTGTGACTCGTCCCCGGTTCTCCCCGGCTGGGCGGGGTGGGCGGGCAGGGATTTGGTCCAGTGCATTCTGATGGCCCCTTCTCCTCTCTTCCCAGGAACGCTCACTCCCAGGGTACCTTGCATGGAGAGAGGGCACGGAGCAAACTATGTCACGCCATCCAATGACACCAGCTGGTCAGCTCACCACCCCCCTCTGGCTAAAACTCAAGCAAATAAAGCCGCTTCCTGTCATTAAGCATCTCAGAGGAAGCAGCCCTCCCTCGGTGGCCTCTAGCCCAGAGAAGCCAGCACGTCTTGGACCCATCAAACGGGCCCAGCCTTCTTGCTGCCACCTCTCTGCTTCTCCCCAGAGGAACTTAGGGATTTCGCCCCTGGTTAAAACAACAACAACAACAACAAAACACCAACAACCCACAAGGACCAATGTAGGTATTCTCCCGGCCCGTCTTCAGGGCTCCGTGGCAGTGGAGACTAGAAGATGATACCGATTGGAAAACAAGAACCTTTTTTTAATCTTTTTAAAAACTGCTGTGGTTTTGCTGCTACACTAAGAGTTGTGATTTGCATTGTATGGTTTTGGACCTGTACTGTTCCCATTTTGATGGCGGGGAGGGATGGCACTGGAGTCTCGACGCTTCGGATTCATCTCTGCCCGGCCCAGGATGCACTTTTAAATGAAGAGTTAGAATATTTTATTGGCTAATATACTTTTCTTGTTATTTTTACAAAGGCCACCTTTATCCTTTTTGATGCCATATTTTCAGTGTTACACTTTTATGGCTTTTAATTTTCAATTTGACAGATGTAAGAAGCAGCATGGATAGTTTATACTGTGGTTTTTCAGAAACTGAATGCCAAGAGAACTCGGTAAATGTTTATTCTTCTCAGCTTTCTCTTAAAATTCCCCTAAATAGCGCCCCATTTGGGAACAGAGCAAGAGTGTTGAACTGAAGACCAAAATGCCCTCAAGGTGTAAAATAATCCGAGGGGGAATATTTGCTGGGCGTCACGAAAGACTCGGATGAAATTTCAATCCTGATGGTTTTCGGTGATCCAGGAAGTCAGTGAGACAATCTCTCCATACGCAGAGCCCTTTCATGATAATTAGAATGGTATGGACGAACCAATGAAAACAAGAGGGAAAGTGAGAAAGATCGCCCATGATTCTGTTTCACTGTTTGCTTTCTCCTGTCATGGTTAAGAGAAATGTGCAATTTGATCCTCAATCAGTGGGTGGAGGATAACAGGGTAGATTTACTTGTGTGCACTTGTACAGTTGTAGCTGCGAGTCCAGAGTCCTCTAGAGCCTGTGTACTGGCGCTGAGTTGGTGAGACCGTCGTGGAGTACCCCATTCTGATGAGTACAGACAAAAAAAGGAAAAAATTCAGAAAAAAAATCAAAAAAAGAAGAAAACTAAAAAAAAAAAAAAAAAAAAA